CACATTTATATGAGTGGTCAATATTGATTTCATTTCAACAAGGAATATTGAGCAAGACTTCAGGAAGAGAGAAGAGAGCCATATCAGTATCTGTGATAGAATATTTTCAAATGTACTAGTACTTGAAAGGCAAAGACAAAAGCCGGAACATCCTGTTTCCTATTGAGATAGATAAATAAATAAATAAGATAGAGTCTATCTTAGTTTGTTTGGGCTGCTATAACAAAATACCATAGACTGAGTGGCTTATAAACAACAGAAATTTATTTCTCACAGTTCCGGATGCTGGGAAGTCCATGATTAAGGTGCCAGCAGATTTGGGTCCAGTGAGGGCCCACTCCCTCATAGATGGCTGTCTTTTCACTCCAACCTCACATGGAAGAAGGAGTGAGGGGTTCTCCCTCTGGCATCTTTTATAACGGCTCCACCCCCAAAACCCAGTCAACTCCCAAAGGGCCCCACCTTTTAATTTCATCACTTTGGGGGTGAGAATTTTAACAGGAATTTTTGGAGGATGTAAACATTTAGACCATAACATCATTCTTGGCAGAAAAAAAGGAGTTGTAGGAAAGCTGGTGTAATCGGAACAGAAAGAGCAAGAGGCAAGTTTCAGGATAAAATAAAATGTTAGGCTAGACCACTGAAGGACTTTGTAATTAAAAGTTATAGCTTCCGTGACTTCTATCCAATCTTCTCTTACAAGTTTTACAAAAGTTTTAATTTTCCCGATGATGTCATTTTCTTTGTCATGTCTTTCTTATATGTTAATTTTCAGTTATCCTTACTTTTTAAACATATTGCCATACACGAAGTAATTATTCTATATTAGGTTCTTCTGTGGACAAGTCTAATAATTCAGTCTCGTTTACCAGGAAATTATCACATTTATCTTTGGATATCTGGGGTAGATTGGTTTCAGGAACTCCCTTGGATACGAAAATCCACGGATGACCAAGTCTCTTATATAAAATGGAGTAGTATTTGCATATTATCTATGCACATACTTTAAATCATCTCTAGATTACTCATACTACTTAATACAATGTAAATGCTATGTAAATAGTTCTGCTGTATTGTTCAGGGAATAACAATAAGGAAATACATCTTTAAATGTTCATTCTTCATTCTGTTTTTCAAATATTTTTAATTTGTGGTTGCTTGAATCCACATATCTGAAACCCACAAACACGGAGTACAACTGTATTTTTCTTTCTATCCTCATAACTACATATTGCCTTCTGTTATTCCTTTTCTTAAATTCTATTAATATGTTATGTGATAATTTTGACATTTTCCAATTTGTCTCCTATTTTTTCTATTTCTCAAACAGTATTATATTTCTGTTTCAGTGCACTAATCTCCACTTATTTTTTGTACACTTAAATATTATACATTCAATTCATAAGGACTTTGCAAATTTAAAGGTAGCTGTTTTTCTTAGCCTCAATTTTATCATCTGTAATAGATCAGAATGTCTTGTCATTAGAAATATTAAAGTAAGTTTAAGACATCTTAAAGAATGTTTGACATATATTATATACTTAATATATATATTTGTTTTTTCCCTTCATTATCTGATTTATTTTAGACTTTATGCATCAATAACTTTATGGCATCTATAACTAACCATCATGCATTTTTCTTGTTCATTTGTTTATTTTATGTACCTCACAAGTACATAAGCTCTTTGGTATCTGGAAACTATTCTCCTTATTTTAATGCATGACTCATATCTTTAGCACAATTTTTTATCCATAAATATTTATTAAATAAATTATGTCAACTATGTGTATGCTTTATTCATTAAACTATCAAGAGATTGATCAGCTTTAATGTTGAGGCTTCAGTGTTAAACCATAAAATTTTAAATTTTTTGCAATATTTAAAAATAATACATCTTTAAGAAATAATAAAAATCAATATTCATACTCATAGTGGATTATAAAACATTCTAGGTGAACCCCATACATTTTTAGAGAAAACAGCGAAATTAATTATTAAAAGTCTTTCAAATTTTTATCATTCTATTGATTCTTATTTTATAAAAAATAAAAGTTTATCTTGTATTTCCTTTTAAGTAAAACTCTTAGAATCCTTAACAATAGAGGATTTAATGTATATCAATTGTTTAAATCAACTTAATATGTGTAAATGTTATAAACTAAGTTTAAGTAAAAATCACATATAGGGCAACAATGCATTTTATTTTTCTTCTCATCTTTTCCTAATAAATCTTTGAGGTTTATATAATTATTTTAATTAAGGCTATGAACTTGTACCTGAGCAAGTGAGGGGCTAATTAACCTAATTTATATGCAAACCGAGCAATTTTCTCTAGGCTTTTCATCACTTCATTTTTCCATTTAAATTTCTCTATTTTATCCAATTAATATTTATTTTATTTTGCCCCATTTAAATTAATGACTAAAAATTACTCTCAGTCTAAACTTTACATTGATATTGCAAATAGAGAGTATTATATCAACAATACGTTTTGGGTAACAGTGCCTTTAATATTTTGTGTTTACTTATATTTGTATAAAGCATATTATACATTCTGAAATGAACACAGTACTATTTAGCATAAAGTCCATGTTAGCCTTAGACTTTATATACTAAATCTAAATAAACAATGAAAATATAATGTTATACATACTTCTTAAACAATTACTTCAGTAGGAAGCTTGATGGCCAATTATGCTTTTCTCAATATTTAGTGAAAATGAATAATAAGAAGGCAAGAAAAGAAATTTCCACTGCATCATCATAAGAAGCACTGGACCATGAGGTTACAGAATATATCTATTGTTCTTTATTCTGAAATTAGTTCCATACCTAGTGCACAAGTACTCTGTCTTAGTTCACTTGTGTTGCTCTAACAGAAGACCTGAGACTGAGTAAGAACAGAAATTTTTTTCTCACAATTATGAATGTTGTGTCCTCACATGGCAGAAGGGGTGGAAGGGCAAGGGGCCTACCTAGTTTCCCCCAGCCCTTTTATAATGCACTAATCCTATCTGGGAGGGCAGAGACCTCATAACCTAATCACCATATAAAGGCCCCACCTCATAATGTTATTGCCCTGGGATCAAGTTTTTACATAAATTTTGGAGATACAAACATTCAAACCTTAGTACAAGGCATAATTTTTGAATGAATAAACAATAAACACATGCATTTAGATTTGCAAAGGTATATATTTGTGGTGACATAGCCATTCTCTGTATAATTATCATTATTCCTAGTAAAATTTCAGAACAATCAGTGAATTTTCAAATAAATTTACACACTGGTCATCAAAATTTAAAATGTTGACTATGTAACCACCCAGGATATTTAATATGTACTTAAATTTAACAATAATTACCTACATTTTCCTTCCAATTTTCTAGTTTTCTTTCCTTCTTTGAAATTTGCACTAACACATACACACACAAGATCAAGTCATAGATATTGTTTTGCTGCTGTGTTACCTTGATAAAATATTTTACTTAGTATTTTGAGTATAAGCTAGATTATTATTATTATTAATAAGGGTAACTCATACATAAGTCATCTAAGGAAGTAATATAATACAAAATCTTTGTATTGGTAGGAAGGGAAAATTTGGGTCATGTCAAACACCTGTGACAAGAGTTAAATCATATCACAAAGAGATCAGCTAATTATGCTGAAAAAAATGCCATCCACACACTGTGCAAAGCATTGTCCTTTCCCTCTGTTGGAGGGCATTTATTCATAGACATCATGTGTGCTTTCTTCCCAAGGGGTGAGGTTGACCTAGAACCCTATGGACGGCTCTTCACAGTTAAGCATGCCAACTGCTTGTCAGAAATGATTAGTGAGAAATAAGGAAAGAAAATTTCCCCTGTTGATAACAGGGGGCAAATAGAAGATACTCTGAAATTATCATATGGAATCACATTTGTTCAGTAAGAATATTTTGCATTTGATAATATCTAATATCGCAGACCAACCTTTATTTTTAAATATTTAAGACATGACTCATATTGAGCTTGACAGATTTGAGGTAATAGAAAATTCTGTGCCAACTCACAAAAGGGTGTATGTACATTATAATCATTTTTACAATAAACAATAACTATATTTGTGTTATCTTGATAGAGAGAAGGGTATAATTAGTCATGTTGGTCCCTTAAACACATCTTTTAGAAAGCTACTTTAAGTGTCTTTGGATTTATAGTAATCCAAACTCACATTTTATGTGAAAATACTCTTTAAAATCAGAGAATTTATTACAACACTTTTTGGCTTATATTCTGAATATATTATAACATAAAAGCCATAGAAAGCTATAAATTTTCTTAAACAGAATTATAAAATCCTTGTGGTCTGTATTATGAAATCAATGTTAATGTTACAGTAACATTTTGATCTAGCAGAATCATAAAATTAATGAGAATTCTTTAGCTATCATTTTGAATCTTCTCTTAATGGGTAAACCAAGATAATATAGGTTTGCAATAGAGGAAAATGCAATGTGCAAAATTAGTGCAATGGATTTGAACAAAATGTGTTATAATTTGGATGTATATTGACTATATTAGATCTGCATATTGTGTAACAAAATATTCTAGACAATTGAGATCGATATTGGATTATTGGATTTAATAACATTTTATATTAAACACTGACAAATAATACCACATTTGTTTATAACCTAGAAAGTAATTAACTCAACTCTAAGGAGAAATTTAACTTTCATGACTTCTCATGCTAATAACCTTAAAGTTCAAATGCTAACTTTCTATCTCCATTTTATTTAGAATGCATCACAAGTCTTTAATGAAAAAAAGATAGATTCCTATTTTTGAAAGTGATATTTGCTCCTTTTTTTGGTACACTATTATGGATTAGAAACCCCAAACATTTTTACCACTAAAATAATTCTTAAATTAGAGAAAACGGAAAAATATATTATTTCAATGCTGCAATGATCAGGCAAGAATATAAAAATTTTATGGAAAACAAACTTTTACCTTGAGAGCATTTACTGGTCCTGTTAAGGATGAGGTTATGACAGTCACATTCCTTGGTATCCTGAAAAGCAGAGAATAAGAGACAAAATTCAAAGTCCAACCAAATTGTAAGAGTGGTAGGAAAACCCCATTAAATAGTGACTTCAAAGAGCTATCTCTTTTGCATGAGGTGGAGTAGGATTAAGCATGTCCTTTTCCTAAAAAATATGGCAAACAAAATTGCCTATGTTGAATTTTAACTAGAAGTTTATTTTTTAAGTCTTGTCTGAGAATGTTTTTCCCCATAAGAAAGTCCTTTTTTTGTTGTTGTTTTGGATTTGCACAAATATGACCTGGTTAACCTGAAAAACCTAAAACAAAAAATTAATTTAAAGTGGTCCTAGTCCTGTTATAATCCTGGATACTTGGCAGAAGCAAATTTATATGATCATTTTGGGAACCCAGCTTCTATTCTGGCCTAAACTTAGTTTCACAAATATACTTACAAGAAATATGAATTGATAGTAAAACAAACAAACACAAAAAGCACACATAGAAATAGGGTACACAGGAAGAAAACAACAGAAAAGAGTATGAACAGAATCTGAAGAATATTGACAGAATTCATCAGATTATATAACAAGCATGTTTAAATCAAGTAAGAATTAAAATGAGTGACTGAAATTTTAATTCATACAATGATAAATGTACAACTAACACATCCATACCATATTACAGATAGCTGAAATTATGAGTGCACTGAGTATAAAACCTAATGAAATTAACTATAATGATTAAAAGATATAGAAAGATAAACAATAAAGGGGAAGAATTAAGTGATATGGAAGGTAGAGTGAAAATGACTATCATGTATTAAACTAAAGCCTAATATATTCATTAAAGAAAATTTCTGACAAACCACAGACCCAATAAAAGTTATTAATTCTCAGCTTCAGGAGGACCAACAAATCACAAACAAGATACATAAACATGAATTCATACCTAGAAACACTTCAGTTTTTATCAAAACCTGTACCTTCAAGCATCCTCATTCTTCTTGACCTGATCTATTATTCCCATAAAATTTAGCACCTTCTAACTTATTATACATCATATTTATTTTTGGATAAAAGAATATAATCTCAAACAGATATTTTTATTTTGTTGACAATATGCAATTGAAGTGCCTATAACATTTCTTATAGCATAGTACATATTCAAAATTTATTACCAAATTAATGGAAAAATGTATATAAAAATAGTGAAAGCAGAGAATATAAAATAAGAAAGATTTTCAGAACTATCATAACAAAATGACACATAACTTTAAATAAATGACAACTATAGCAACATTGACTTTTTATCAACAGCAATAGAAACTAGAAAAAAGTTTTGAAAATATCATCAATGAGATTAGACATACTACAATATATTAAAGATTTATAAAATGTGAAAACACCTTTCAAGAATGAGTCAAAATAATGACAGTTTAGAGAAAGAAGAATGGAAAATTTGTCATAAAAAACACCTCCTAAAGAAATCTTAAGGGATAAATTTCAAACAAAGGAAAATGGTCACAGATAAAAGATTTGGGATAAAAGAAGTAATAATATGAAAAAAAAAAGAAAATATATAGTAAGTCTTAAAAACAAAATAAAGTTTAATTCAGTGAAAAATTGAGTTGTGGGGTTATGAAAAATAGAAGCAAAATATCTGAAAGTAATATAATTGAGGAAGAATTTAATCAAAGAGGAAATTTTAAATTCCTTGTGTTTATAAATAAGGTAAAGATGTTTTGTTGGGGGTTCCCACCAGTCTTAAGCTTTGATGATTTAATAAAAGAACTCCCAGTACTCAGAGAAGCAATTATATTAATGATTTGTAAAAACAAAAGGATGTAGAATAATATCAGCAAAGAGAAAACATGCATGGAGCAAAGTACAGAAGACACAAGCACAAACTTATAGATGTCCCATCACAGAGGGGTCACGTGGAGCTGCACTTAATTCTTCCAGTAACGAAGTATGGCAACATATGTGAATTTTTGGCAATTAGAGCAGCCCATGCAATCCTTGGTGCCCTGAGATTTTATTGATGGTCAGTCATATAGGCATGTAGTGCCAATATGACAGAGATCAGCTAATCCTGCTTCCTCCCCATACTCCCTCTAGAACAAAAACAGGTATTCACCATAAATCATATCTTATGATAAACTCATCTGCTCAAAGTTATACCATAAGGTTCAAATTGATACAGCATGGCTCAAGGCCTCAGTCATATGAAATCAGTCTTTCATCATAAACATAGTGTAACCCAAGGTGTCAGGTATGCAAACACACTCTGTTAGTATATAGCAAGGACTCAGAGGTTAGCCTCAGAGCTAGTCAAGAGCCAGTCCTGAAGACAAACCTTTCTTTTGAATGTGCAGAGTTGGAAGAACCCAGGACTACTGAGTTAATACATCTTTGCCTAGCCCATTTCTATTGTCCTTAGTTTAACCTCTCATATCAAAATAATCATATTTTTCTGAGCTCTACATTGAATACAGCATTTATATCACAGTACCAGCAGTAATATGAGTATGCCTAGCATTTGTAGGAGCCAGTGTATGGTAAAGATAGATTTAAGGAAATAAATAATACATCCTAAAAATCCATTCCATACATTTTAATATTTTGTACAAATACAATTCCTCATTATTTTCCTTGATCTACTATAATTTGTATATTGTAATAAATCTGTGTAGAAGTATTTTGCATTGAAATTAGCTGATGATTAGCTAAATGCTGTTTTCTCAGGCCATTCATTTTCCATGAGTATTACATCCTGAAGAGAATTTAAGTCAATCTGCTAATGTACTTGATTATCACTATCAAAATACCATATGACTTCTTTACATAAGGCCATTGAATCTTACCAACAATGCTAATGTTATGTCATATTATGGTATGGTCAATTCAGTTTTATTATAGAAAAGGTCATTAAGAATTATAAAACAATTTATTATAGCTCTCAAAAGAATTGGTCCTTGTCCATATTCCATCTATTATTATGGATAGGTGTTGTTACAATTCACCATGATTTGATTATTCCAAGTCAGTTGGGAACACAGCCAATCTCTCTGTTTCAGTTCACAGGCTTGAATTGACACTGGTTTCTACTATTTGCTCTCATATTACCAGGATTCATTTCCCTCTTTTAGAGAGGACACAAGTATTCAGAATATATTCCACTCCTACTACTTGTACTACAGGGTGCTTTATTTTTATAAATATTCTTGAAGCAATAATAGTAAGTGTTCATCAATGTAAATTATGAGTGCCTCCAGAGAAATTCTAAGTTTGGAGGTCCCTAAAATTATACAAATGTGCCCCTAAACACCTAGGAGGAAGGACCATTGCTGCATAGTTACTTAGGCTTCTAGCTGTATTAAAAAAGTAAAGAGATCCCATTGGGTCAGGATATAAGCCCATTCCCGATGCTGAGTTCTAGAATTACCATTATCCAACATTATTTGTTGAGTCTGCTAGACCCATGTCACAAAAACTTCATCATTTTTCAAGACTGAATCCCATTCATTCCTCTCTGATTGAAGGGAATCCCCACTAATCTATTTATTCTAGTTAATGTCTTCTTTTTCTGAATGTCATTCATGATTAGAAATGAATTCAGCTTGTCTCACAATGCCTAGGCCAACACCAGTCTCCCTGAAGCGTTTTTCTGTCCTGTGGACCAATGTGTAATTTGCAATGTATGTAGTTGTCACTGTGTACTAATGGCTTAAATGGAATTAGGATTCATACTTCAGACTGCAAACGGATGGGTTGTCCATACTAATACAAATATAAGAAAAACCACACCAATTATACATAATTTTTCTAGAAAATAGAAGAGAAAGGAATACTTCTAATTCTTCCAAAGTTAGAATGCCATTTAAACCAAATAAGACAAAGGCAGAAGAAAGAATAGAAAACAAAAGAAAGAGAAGAAAAGAAAGGAAAAGAAAAGAAAAAGACGGGAGGAAAGAGATAGAAAGAAAAGATAAAAAAGAAAAAAAGAAACAAAACTTTTGACCAGTATACCTCATGATCATGGAAGCAAAATCGTCAATAATTTGAATACAACCCTGTATAAAAATTATGATACACATGACCATGCTATTTTTAATTCAGGAATGCAAGACTGGTTCAATATTTTTTGAAAAATGAAACAATAAACTATATCACATTAGTAGTCTAGAGAGGGGAAACACATGATCATGTCAATGAATGCAGAAAAAATAAATTAGATGATATTAAACACTAATTTGTGATAAAAATTCAGCAAATTAGGAATAGTAGAAAACAAAAAAACTCTATCATATTTAATGATGAAAAACTGAATGCTTTCTCCATGTATGCTATGGAAAAAAGTGATGATGTTTGCTCTTATCCCTCATTTTCATCATAATACTCAATGTTCTATCTAGTTAATACGGCAGAAAAGAAGGAATGAAATGGATGCAGATTGGAAAGAAACAATTAAAACTACTTGTAAATTACATGACTGTGTACATAGAAATGTATGCAGCATTTAGGAGGGAGAAGAAAAATAGAAGGAGGAGGAGAGGAAGAGGAGAAGAAGAGGAAAGGAAAAACAAAGGGAAAAGAGAAAAAATGGAGCAAGTGGAAGGAGAAGCAGCAGCTCCTAAAATTAAGGTGTGTCTAGCAAGATTAGAACACATAGAAACACATAGGTTTCAGCTATTTTTACCTGAATTTAAACCATTTTTCAAACATAAATGTTTCTCAGGTAGTCAAATATTTGGGTCAATTTCCTGAGAGATGAAAGGCTGTTTTCATCCATTATAGTGGCTTTCCTGTGGAGAATTTGCTGGTCTCCTCACCTGACTGTAGTTAGTATTGATTGATTTACTGAATATGAAAACAATCTTGCATTCCAAGGATCAATGCCAATTGATAATGATCTATTTCACACACACACACACTATTACATTTAATTGGTTAATATTTTTCTGAGTTTTAAAATTTAAATCCATCGCCTAAATCCAGATTTTTATGAAGGATTCTTTGATTCTTTTCT